AATCAATTTTGGGTGCTGTTTTGCTAGCACTTTCCTCTTTCCCTTTTTGCCATTCATTCCTACCCTTAGGTACAGCTTTATCAACCTTGTTGTTGTTGTTGTTGTTCCATCCCAGTTTCCAAGATGGATTTGCACTCGAAGTTCCTATCGGTTGCCTAGCTATCCCTTTCCTCTTCAACTGTCTCTCCACCTTCATAGCCACATGCAACATGTCTTCCAACTCCACATAATGTTGCAACTCTACTACATTGGCAATTTCCCTATTCAAACCATTCAAAAATCGTGCCATGGTAGCCTTTCGATCCTCCACCACATTAGCCCTAATCATGAGTATTTCCATCTCCTTATGGTAATCTTCTACACTTTTCGACCCTTGATATAGGCCTTGCAGTTTTTGATGGATATCTCGGTAATAGTGGCTAGGAACAAACCTCTTTCTCATCAATGACTTCAATTCTTCCCAAGTGCTAACTGGTCTTCCCCCACTCCTACGTTGTGAAGTAACCACTTGGTCCCAACATGAAATGGCATAGTCACTGAACTCTAAGACCGCTAACTTCACCTTCTTCTCCTCCGAATAATTATAACATTTGAAGATCATCTCAACCTTTCTCTCCCACTCCAGATATGCTTCGGGATCACTCCTTCCTTTGAATGAAGGAATGGTCATCTTTATATTTCCTAGATTTCCATCCAACTCCTCTCCGCGATCATTCCGACCCTGTCTGTCGAACCTATCGCCTCTATTCCTCATCCTTCCCATCTCAACACCGTGAAATTCATCTTCGCCCAGTTCACTCCCATATCCATACGCTTCTCGCCTTTCCCTCCTAGGCTCCCATCTATCCGGTCCTCTGGTATTGGACACATCCACTCGATGCCCCCGACTAAGATTGGCCACCGATGTATCTAACCTATTCATCCAAGCCTCTTGCTTCTCCAACCGTTCTCTCATATCTCCAAACACCCTTTGAAACATTTGCACTAAATCCTCCGATGCGTTGTTATTGTTGCCTTGTCGACTTGAGTTTGATTCTGCCCTTTCTGACATCCTAACACTAAAATTTTATTTAACTGCCTCACCAAAGTCACTCGGAAACACACAATGGCTTTTACCCTCTATTGAGCTCACCTCTCTGCCTTTTACCACTCAGTTCTTTCAACAATTGCTTCTAAGGACAATCAATGAACTCAATCAATCAATCAATCTTGTAGAATTCTCAAACCGGATGTGATTCAAAGAATTGTAACAAAAGGACTCAAGGAAACTTCTAAAACTTTGAATTTGAATTGAAGGAATGGAATGAATCAATGTGTCCAGGCAACTGAGAAACGATATTGAATAAAAAAAATTGTTGGTATTTGACGGATCAATAATATGTAACAATTTTTTTTATAACTGTACGGATGAACAGTACCGTACGGATGAACAATAACTTTTTTTTTATGATCCGGAATTCAATAACAAAACCAACGCAGAAAACGAAAACGAATTTGGGCGAAAATTGACCCCGGGAAACAGAATATGAAGATTCTTTTTTATTCCTTTTGGATCAAAGAATCAAGAAAACCTTCTGGACACAAGAACACAAGGAATTGAAATGAATTAAAAAAAACAAAGATATAACCTGATTAAATTGGAGCCAAAGCTCTGATACCAACTGATGCGAATCCCGTAGCAATGGAAACTACGAAACCCACAACTAGATTGATGCGGAACCCAAGAACGCCAATACTAATCTGGTTTTGGATCTTGAACCCCAATAATCGAACCACGAAACCTCAGATTAGCGAAGAATCTGAAACCCCTTGATTACAATCAATGAAACCCACAATCCGACGTCAAGAACGCCACAAGAAATCGATTCTTGATAAGTTCTAAGTTCGTCCAATGAAGAACAATCGATTGAAAGAAAATTTCTCTCTCTGTATTAATTTCAGCCAAAAGTTTTTTACATAATGAAAAGAGTTTCCTATTTATACTATGGCATAAAAAACGTCCAAATTAATCAAAATATGGTAATATTTTGATTTCACAAGAGTTCTACCAACATTAGAAGATTCGGCAAAAATTAAAAAAAACGAATTTTTTTTCCACTTTTTGATCTATGCGGCCGCATAGATCATTTCTATGCGGTCGCATAGATCACTCCAGCCAGCCACATGTAGTTTCGGTGGCCTTCTATGCGGCCGCATAGGCCGTTGAGCCTGTGGTCGCATAGACCAACTCCGTGCCGCCTTCGTCCGCTTTTATCTCGTTGATCCAAGTTCCTTCGGCCTTCGACCCCAACATGAAACTTGTTCCATTTGACCTCCCGAACATTGTTTCATCGATCGTTTGCTTGACAAGCAATCTCATCACTTCTTTCACTCACTTCGTCCTCGATCACGTCATCGGTCCGCCTTCGACTATCAATGGATTCTTTCCGTAACTCGTCGCTTGACTCGCTTCGGTTGTGGACGTGCCTTGATTCATATCAATTGTTGTCTCTATAACCATCGCCACCAGCCATCTATTAACGCAGGAGGAAGGTGGCACCCAGTCAACGTAGTTGGTACACAGAACATCTACTCCAAATAATAAGAACCCAGATCTAGAAATGACCACCTGGACCAACACTTCTCTAGGCAACACTATCTCTATTACATTTCCAAACGAGTCAAACTCGATTCTTGAACTCTAAGAAGCTTGACTCCATTATCGTTTGGTACCGTATTTGAGGATTGAGATTTGGGTACCATCAAACCAGATTTAGGTTGGGTATTTTTGAAATTTCTGTTGACATTGATTGGTGGTGGAGCCGAGTGTGAGGATGGGAAATCATACTAGGTATGGAAGTGCTGACATTGTATGGGTGCTGCTACGACTATGCCGACTGAGGAAATAGTGGAAGATGGCTGGTTGATCTTTCCACAATAGCTTTTGACAGAAAAAATCTCATTAAAAAAAAAGTGAAAATGTAAACATTATCAAAAGCTCGAAAATACCCCCAAATAAGAGAGGAGAAGAGGAAAGAAAGAGAAAAAAAGAGAAAAAGAAAAAAGAAAAGAAAAAGAAAAATCTCATTACCATTGTCGGAGATTGCCATGTCTCACAAATTAGATTTGTTTCTTTGTAATTTACTCACCATTGAGGTCTAACACATGTGGGAATTTGAATGTTTAGGGTTTGAATATGTTAAGTTATGAGTTTAATACATAAAAAATTTGAATGTTTAGGGTTTGAATATGTTATATGAGTTTAATTCAAATTTTTACAGTTAAAATAGAAGAAAAATACGAATTTGAGTTTGAAATAGTTAAAAAAGGTGAAAAATGGGACAAAGCTCGTCAGAAATGGAGTTTTCTGACAGCCCTATCGGCATCTCCGGATCCAGACGTTAGGGTCCCCGTTTTTTAAGGCACAAATTCATTTTTCCTTTTCATTTATTTTTGTGAATATTTTAAGATGAAATTAAATTAAATATTCATTTTTTTATTGAAGTAAGTGTTTAAAATAAAGGAATTAAATATACATAACCAATTAAGATAATTAATTAAAGAAATATTTAAAGAAGAAACTAAATTAAATATTAAAATTTTCATTTAAGTAAGTGTTTAAAATAAATTATTAAATAAAGCAATTAAGTATTAAATAAATAATATACATAACCAATTAAGATTATTAATTAATGAAATATTTCAAAAAGAAAGTAAATTAAATAATAAGATTGTTATTTGAGTAAATGTTTAAAATAAATAATTAAATAAACTAACTAAATATACATAACCAATTAAGGTAATTAATAAAGAAATATTTAAACGAGAAACCAAATTAAATATTTGATAATTCTACATGTATTAATTCATAAGAATGTCCATAATCTATATGTGAAATTCCATGAGTGGAGCATAAAAGAAATTATTTTTCAACTCTCTAATGATGTTATATCACCTATTTATAAATATTTCATGAGTTATTTAAATTTTTTATTTAAGTAAAATAATTAATTTCTTTTTATTTCATTTTATTTAAAATATAAATAATTTATATAATGAAATAAACAATTTAAGTAAATATAATAAACAATTAAATATTGAATAAACAATAAAAAATTAAAATAAATAAGAAATTAATATAAATAATTAAATGAAGTAAATAAATATGAAATAAACAATTAAAATAAGTAATTAAAATAAATAATTAAATTGAGTAATTAAATATTAAACAAACCATATACATAACCAATTAAAATAATTAATGAAATATTTAAATAAAAAATTAAATTAAATATTAAATAAATAATTTAATATTTTAAAATTTAATTTAATTTTTTATGTATATTATTTATTTAATAAATAATTATTTATTTTACACTTTATTTGTTTACTTAAATATTTCATGAATTATGTTAATTATTTATGTATATTGCTTATTTAAGTAAATAATAAACTAATTGAAAAAATTAAATAAAAATTGATAAAAAATTAAAATAATTAATTGAAATAATAAATAACTAATTGAAATAAATTCAATAAACAAGTAAATTAAATATTAA